TGTGAAGTAAAAAAAGTATAAATCCCTCATTTCTTGTCTTCTTATTCCAATCCCAGGAATACAGTGTCTATGGAATTCCCTGACATTTTCTATGCACATATAATTATATGGTATTAATCATAGAAATCATAATAATAGCTCCATGTATGCCAAAAAAGAGAAAAGAATGCTACAGTGAACAAGGGGGTGCATATATCTTTTCGAGTCAGTGTTCTGTTTTCTTTGGATAAATACCCAGAAGTGAAATTTCTGGGTCATAAGGTAGTTCTATAATTAATTTTTTGAGGAACGTCTTTACTGTTTTCTATAGTGGCTGCACCAGTTTACACTCCCACCAACAGTGCACGAGGGTCCCCTTTTTCCACATCCTCACCAACATTTATTCCTTGTCTTTTTGATGATAGCCATTCTAACAAGGTGTGATGCGATATCTCATGGTGGTTTTGATTTGCATGACCCTGATGATTAGTGATGTTGAGCATCTTTTCCTGTGGCCTTTGGTCATCTGTATGTCTCCTTTGGAAAAATGTCTATTCAGATCCTCTGCCCAATTTTAAATTGGATTTTTTTTTGTGTGTGTGCTATTGAGTTGTATGAGTTCTTTATATAGTTTGGATAGTAACCCCTTATCAGACACATGAGTTGCAAATATTTTCTCCTATTTAGTAGATTGCCTTTTCATTTTGTTGATGATTTCCTTTGCTGTGCAGAAGTTTTTTGTTTGATGTTGTCCCACTTGTTTATTTTTGCTTTTGGAGTCAGATCCAAAAACTCACTGCCAAGACCAGTGTCAAGGTGCTTACCGCATATGCTTTCTTCTAGGAGTTTTACGGTTTCAGATCTTACATTTAAGTCTCCACCCATTTTGAGTGCATTTTTGTATATGGTGTAAGGAGGTGGTCCAGTTTCATTCTTTTGCATGTGGCTGTCCAGTTTTCCCAACACCATTTATTGAAGAGGCTGTCTTTAGTCCATTGTATGTTCTTGGCCCCTTTGTTGTACATTAATTTAATCACATCTGCACGGGTTTATCTCTGGGCTCTCTATTCTGTTCCATTGACCCATGTGTCTGTTTTTATGCTAACACCGTACTGGCACGTAGTTCTGATGACTGTAGCTTTGTAATATAACTTGATTAAAACCAGGGGGCATGATGCCTCCAGCTCTGTTCTCCTTTCTCAAGATTGCTTTGGCTGTTTGGGGCCTTTTGTAGTTCCATGCAAATTTTAGGATTGTTTGTTCTATTTCTGTGAAAAATTCCAGTGGAATTTTGATAGGGATTGCACTGAGTCTGTAGATTGCTTTGGGTGGTATGACCTTTTTTAACAATAAGAATTTTTCCAGTGTTAATTCTAACCACTTACAAACATGGTATATCGTGTTGGGCACCTTGGCTTCAGAGACAAGTGGGATGAGGGCTCAGCTCTCACCCTGGTCTCTTTGGGGCAAGCATCAGAACTTGTTCAGGGAGGGCTGCCACTGGTCATCACGGTCCCTGGGGTGGTCACAAGCTTCACAGCACGAGCCACTGGGGCCCATTTTTCTTGGGCTTTTTAGCAATTGAGTCCAGGCCACTTGTCTCCCCACCTGCTTAAGAGAATTCACTGAGTATTTGCTCATGCTTGCTATTTAAAAAAAAAAAAGATTTTATTAGGGAATTGGGGGAGGGGAACAGCCAAGTTGTTGTCCTTCAATCTTAGTTTTGGAGGGCACAGCTAGCTCAGCTTCAAGTCCAGTTGCCATCCGGCTGCCTGATGGCAGCTCAGGGCAGCTCAATTCAAGGTGTCATGTTCAGTCTTACTTGTGGGTGGGCGCAGCCCACCATGCCATGGGGGAGTCCAACCGGCAACCTTGTTATTAGGAGCACATGCTCTCATCAGCTGAGCCACCCTGCCACCTGTTGGCAGCTCAGCGGCAGCTCAGGGTGGGCGCAGTGTCACTGGCCCAGGTGGGAATCCAGCCAGCAGTGCTGTTGCTCAGAGCTCGCTCTCTTAACCAACTGAGCCACTCGGCTGGCCCTCATGCTGGCTATTTTTCTAGGTTGGTGCTGGGTGCTCAGATTGAGTGTATGTGGGGCTGGGGAGGGAGGTTATAATAAATGAGACATATATCCCTCCCTCCAGGAGCAGATAATCTAATGAGAGGAGCAAATGACTCCAGTACCACCAGTGGAGCAATGGCTCTAAATGTGCAAGGTATGGAGTGGCTTGAAGGGAAGGACCATTACCTTTGCCACCAAGGGTCAGGATGGACCCTTGATGGATGAACAGGAGTTTACCAGGCAGAAAATGAGGGAAAAGCATTCTGTGCAGAGGGAATGTCATGCAAAGGCAAGGAAGCACAGAGTGCAGGGAGATTCATGGGAGGAGAGGCTGGGATGGGAGGTGGGGGTCAGACATAGGAGGGTTGTGTGCAGAAACCTGAGGACTGGGACTTCATTCTTAGGGTGAGGGGCAAAGCAGTATAAGTGGGGGAGCCTTGTTAAATGGATCTTGGCTGTGTGGAAGAAGGATGAGAGGGGAAGACATTGGAGGCAGTGGGATTGGCTAAGGGGCTGATGATATAATCCAGGTAAAAAAATGTTGAGGGCCGGAACTAAAAAATGAAAGGAACAGCAAAAAGAGAAAAGAGTGGCTGAGTTTGAAAACAAATTTATTGTAGATGAGCAAACTATCCTCCTGGCAATGGGGTGATCACAGATGGCTCCAGATGGTGGTGTGGGTGACGCTGGGAGGGGAGATGGTGGAGCTGATCCAGAGATGGAGAAGTCAGAAGGGAAGCAGTTTTGGGCTTGGGGAAGGTGGGACATTCAGCTTGGGATATACTGAGGTGAAGGTGGGACATCCGGGTGGCTGCTGGAACTATGCAGCTGGAGCTCGGGGAGCCTGGCCAGCGACAAAGCTAGGCAGAGCTAAAGATACAGGCTGCTTCCAGCTGCTGGGAGGTTGCAGAAGGGGAAGAGAAAGGCAAGGGTTCAGGGAGCCCCAGAGTTTTAGGGATAACCCAGTTTGTCTGGAAAAAAACAGGCAGAAGCAGGGGGCGAAGTAGGAGAGACAAGACTGGTGTGTGTGCTTGTGGGAGTGGAGTGGGACTGGCTAGACGGACAGCTCCACGAGGACAGGGATGTCAGTGGGGTTGTCACTGCTGAACCCCCAGTGCCCAGCTCCAGGCCTGCATGTGGAAGGTGCTCACACAACATGACTTGAATGGATGGACAGACGGATGAAGGATGCATTACCCACCTCACCATCCTCTTCTCACATCACAGAGCTGCTGGTGGGGTGCCTTTCTGTCTTCCTGGGAAGGTCTCCCACCCCTTTGCCCACAGTCTCACCCTCTGTAGCAGATGCCTCTTGAGGGTCTAAACCTAGACCTGCTCCAGGTACTCTGTGATCACACACTGCCCCTCCCACCTGGGCCAGAGCTACCAGGGCAGAAGTGGTCACCTGACCGAGGCCGGCCAATCAGAGTCTGACCTGGAAATCTTGCCTCTGGATCTTCTGAACTGAGATGTGTACACTTGGGTGGCTGTGTGCCACATATCCCGGTATGCAGAGCACATGAAAAGGAGGGCCAGAGTGTGAGAGAAGGAAAAGCAAGCAGACACCCAGGCAGAGGCAGACGAGGCAGTGTGGGCAAGATAGAAGAGAAATAGGCCTGGCTCTGGCCTCTTTGAGGCTTGGCTATGACCTGTTTGGGCTCTGAGTGTCCTCGGTTCTAGCCACTAACCCCACCTTGACCTAGGCTGCTGTGTGTGTATTTCGGTTTCCTGCTGCCCAAAGGCCCATGAGTGAGGTGCCTCCCCCTGGGCCCTGGCATCTATCTGTCTGCCTTCCCGAGTGGTGCTTGAGGCCTCTTGCAAACAGACTCTGGGTGCTGGATGGAAACGCCACCACTTGACTTGCTTGGTGGCTCAGCATTGGGAGGGACTCAGCACATGGTATGGATGGCAACACAGAGCCCGGGCCCCAAAGACCCGCATGTCACTCGGGCTCTGCTTGTGCTAAACGCCCGGTGAATGTCCTCGGTCCATTTTCCTGGGGTAAACCACTGAGGGAGGCACTGTCACCATTTGAACAGGTGTTGGCTAATGAGTTAAGGCCACATGGTCAGGAAGTGGGCGAGTCAGAATTTGAATCCAGTTCCTCAGACTCCATATTCAGTGTTTTGGGGATGTTTCTCATGGAATTCTTTTTTTTTTTTCCCTCCTTCTGCTGTGGGAAAAAGACCTGAGAGATGCCAGAGGTGGGGGCCTGGGCCAGAGGCACTGACACTCTTTGGGGGACCCTTGTGGTCCTAATGAGATGAGCTAAGGGTCATCCCGTTCTTGCCCAAGTCTGGCATGAACAGGGCTTGAGGCAGTGACAGCTCAGACCGTGATGTCTAGCCCAAAAATGCAAAGGTCACTTATAAAGGAGGCGAAAGCTTTGATAGTGAAACCTGAACGAACGCGTCCTCACAAGGAGCCGGGTGTGTGTCCCGGGGCCCCGCAGCGCCGTCCCCGGCGTCTGGAGTGGTGTCTTGCAAACAGGTGCAGTCAGGGCAGGACTGAAACCACGGGCTGCGTGTCTTCCACCCGGCAGCCAGACGCTCTGAACCCTGCCCAGACACGGCTTGGGGGCAGGCCGCAGATGAAAGAGCCCCCTACATTCCTGCTGGTGACCCGCTGAAACGCACGCGTTTCACATGCTTTTAGGGCAACTGGGATTTTCGTCTTCAAGGAGCATTCCTGAGGGTTGGTGCTGGAGAAGGGCAGGGCTTTCTTCAGCCCCCATGAATTGTTCTGGCTTGTAACCAGGCCACCTGAACAGGGCAAAGCAGCCTACCAGCTCTTGCTAGAAGGCTGAAAGGTCAGCGGGGCGGCAGCTATCTGCTCCTCAAGCCCGTGGCTGGCCTGGCCAGCGTCTGGGATGAGCTGGAGAGGAAGCTGGAGGCCAGAGCCTGGGGCAGCCCTGAGGGGTACTATCTGGGGTGGCTGCAGAAACGGCAGCAAGCCAGGAGAAGGTTAAAACAAACATTTATTTAACAAATTATATTAAGAAGACAGACAATTACACAGTGAAACTTCCCTTTGCCAAGTACAAGAGTCGCCTCAAATAAATACACGCCATGAGGGCGCTGTTCCCGTGCGGGTGCACACGGCCCTCCCGAGGCCCCATGCGGCGGCACGGCCGCTCAAGCACCCTTTGCTGGCAGAACAGAAGCAAGCCCTGTCTCCTGGTGGTGACAGCCGTGGCCACCACAGGGCTGCGTTCAGAACAAGTGAAGAAAGCTGGGCTCACCCAAGGGCACCGGGCGGCCGAGGGGCTGAGCGTGCGCGTGCCCGGCCCCTCCGCCAGGCCCCCCGGGTACAGTAGACAGTGAGCTGAGTCAGATGAGCTCAGCTTCTGTGCACCTTGCAGGCACGAGGCTGCTTTGTCAGGGCCCTTCTCTGCCCTCATCCTCAGGCTCCCTAGTTCTCAGAGGAGCTGCAGGCCAGGCTTCCCCACAAATGGCAACGGATGGGGCAGCCAGCAGACCCAGGGAGCCCTCGCTGGGTAGAGTGAGCCGGGCAGGCGGGCTCTGGCCCCAAGCTCAGGGCCGATGGCGCGGTGGTGTGGTGACACCAGCAAGGCTGGTGGCGGCTGTGGTGTCCATTGCTGGACTGGAAATAAGGTCATCGTGAGGCGTGTGCTTATGTCGGGTGGCTGGCACCATGGGCTCTGGGGCCAGATGGGACTTAGGTCCAAATCCTGTCTCTGCCACTTACCAGCCTTGTGCCTTGGACAAGTCTCGGCTTCTCTGTCTGTAACAAGGAGCAAATGACATCCCCTTCTGGGTGTTCTCCGAGTGGGGGCGTGACAGGAGAAACATGTGCTTAAGGTGCCGCCCTGGTGCCTGACAAGGAGTACGGGCTCAGTATGTGTCAGTCCTTCTTGTCCCCTCGCTGCCTTTCCCCTCGCGTGACACGGGGGCAGGTGGAAAGGCTGGGCCCCCACCACCGTCACTGGCTTCTCCCCGCCCACCACACAGCAGTGAGGACGTCGCAGCACGGCGGGCGGGCAGGCTGCGACCCTCGTGCCGGGAGGCAGAGCAGCTGGGGGCCTAGCCTGCTGTTTCTTCTCGCTGCCGGGGTTCTCATCTCTCCAAGTGGAGAAGGGCCGCGGCTGATATTAGTTCTTGGACGGGGGTGGGGAAAAAAGCCTTGCTATAAATTTGCAAGTGAACCTGGAGCAAGGTACTTAACTCCTTATCACCGCTGTGCCCTTTCCAAGGCTTTTGAATTTTCAGTGGGAAAAGAAGAGGCCGCAGGACACTGTGCTCTGATTAGTCCTTTTGGGGGGACGAAGGGGGGGGGGTGGACAGCAGCTGCACTGGGGGGAGCTGGGGGGCTGAGGGCAAAGCCGCTGCCCTTCACATTTCCAAGGGAAACCCAGCCCTCCCTCCCCACTGGCCAGAGGGTTCTCCCCAGAAAGAAGCAAAGGGTGCGTTCCCTTACATACACACGTGCACGCGCGCCTCTAGCCTACTGTCACCCACACGCTAGCTCACCCTCAGCCCCCTCTCCCAAGGCAAAGACACAGAGTGTCAGGAGCAGCCTAAAATCTACCACAGCCAACTTAACACTGCCACCGCTGGGTCGTCTTAAGCTGGCGTTGACTGCCACGTTCACGGGCGACGTTACACCTCTCGGCTTGCCTGAGTCCTCACAGCTTTGCCCTCTTCCAGGTGGCTCTCGGGGATGTGAGTGAGGAGCCATGGACACCCTCCCTTGTGGGCCCATCACTCTCCCTGCTGGGCTGTTCCTTCTTGCTCCCTGACAAGGTCCCAGATCGTCATATTTGGACCTTCCAGGGCCCATCAGACCTGCTGATGCCTGGCTGTCCATCAAGGGAGAAGGGCTGCCGGGCGTTACCGGTCAGAAATAATCTCACAACTGGGTATGAAAAAAGGTCCGAGGACAAAGTGCACAAACCACATGGACAGAAGTCATCAGAGCTCTGACCCCCAAGCCTGCTGGATGTCACCCCTCTCTGGTGGGCTTCAAGTCACACAGGTCACTTGGTTTTGAACCAGCCACCCACCCATCCAAAAAGCAGCAGTAGACACAGGTTCTCTGGGCCCCTGGGGCTTCCTCAAGTCCCTAGAAACACAACTAGCTTATTTCAGTGGGTACATTTGAGGCCAGTTAGTCCGCTCCCTCCTGGTTCATCACCGATCCCGCACAGGGACCACTGCCTCTTGGCCCTGCGGGTTCCACAAACTGCCTTTTCCTGCCATCTTGCCGCATGGGAGGCACGGGAGTCTCACCAGGGACGTCCTCAGGTGTCGGGGAAGGTGGGGAAAGATGACCACTACTCTAATGCACAGAAATCAGGAGGTATCAAAATGAAGACCAAGGGGTGACGGAGGCGGCAGAGCTGAGGGGTCTGGAGATGGCAGGGCTGACGCAGGTCATGAGGTATTTTTTGCCCCGCCCCAAATAGCCAGCAGCCGTCCTCCTAACTGTGTTGGCTGGTTCCTCTTGCACCCCAGCCACCCAGCTAACCATGTGCCACCCTGGGAACTGCGGGAGGAGGGGCCTGTCCCTTGCTGTGGCAGTGGCTCTCCTGTGCTGCCTTCCTGGTGGGGGAACCTCCCTGCTCCCCACGGCCCACCCACACGCCATCCTCCAGACACACATCCAACCTCCCATCCAAGACTCCAACCATCTGGTGACCCCCAGGATGGGACACCAACATTCTGTGGAATCAGGACAACCCCCAACAGGCAGACAAGGCAGGCCACTGGGACGAGGGCCCAAGCCTCAGGGGATGGCAGCAACCCTGTTCTCATGGCAAACATGCGTGGAGTTGAACTTGGCAGCCGGCGCTGTGTCCACTGGCCATTTGTGGCAGAAATGTCAGTGCTAGCCCCAGTTTGGTGACCTGGGTCAGATGGACTATTCAAAACAACTGTTCCTTTTAGCAGAGGCCATCAAGACACAGCCTGGCTCTGTGGAGCTGGTGACCACGTGTCCATGTCCCTCTGGCACTGGGCGCTGGCTCACAGAGCCTCTTCACCCGATGCCCTAGGAGGGCGTTGCTGTGGTCACCGGATCAGGGCACTGGGCTGAGGCAGTTGGCACTGCTGTTGGCACGTGGGTGTTAGAGATGAGCCCTTTGGGAGGAAGTGGGTGAACACAGCATCCTGGGCAGCAAAACTCATATCCAAGCAAGCGCCAGTCACTCTGCCCTCCTGCCCAGACGACAAGTCCGCTCTGTGCCCGCGGCTGGGGCAGCTGCTCCCCGACCTCAGGACGTCCAGTGTGTGAATCAAGTGATGAGTCCAAGCAAGGGCTGTCCACAGTGGGGCAGGGGACCAGGCGTGGGTCCACTCGGCCACCGGCTTCTTCCGTGTCTCCTCAGGGTCTCCGTGTAATGCTGGGGGTACTTGATGCCACTGGCGTGAGGACTGTTCCATGGCAGCCCTGGGTCTGGGGCCATCAGTGAGCCCTGGAGGGTCCTGTACAAAGTCACTACCCCCTCAAGGTCTTCCAGGAAGAAAGCAATGGCTTAGTGGCAGGCGAGAGTCGGTGAAGGGAGCCGGTGGCAGCACTGGGCGGCCTGAGCAATTGTCTAGGGCCCTCAGCGGTGACTCCCGTGGTGGGTAGGGTTGTTTATAGGACGACTGGTCATCACACAGATACGTTAGGAGCCGCTGGTCACTACAGCACACAGATTAGTTGAGGTTATGAACAGCGTCCCCAGGGAGATGGGGTGTCATGTCAGGCAAGCCAATGACTGAGGGAGTAAGAGCTCAGCGCCCAGAGGAGCCCCCGGCTGGGGTGCTCGGCAGTCTGGGCGGATGATGCGTCTTCTCCCCGCTGGTGGTGGCCGGGTCCTCAGGACTGGGAGATCTGCTGACACCGGGTAGGGCTTGGCGGGAGCCTGGCAGCGGCGCTCTGCTCCGTGCGAAAGCTGTACTCATACTGCAGGCGGGACAGAGAAGCACAGTCAGGGCATGGGGACAGCAGGGAGGGCCGCCCCACAGCCTCAGGCCGAGCCTACACAGAGGCCCTCACGGCACCTCACTGGGTACCCCATGTGGGCGTGGCTGCTCCTGTATGTATGTGCGCACGGACTGCAGGTGTGAGCTGGGTGACTGCGCGTGTGCAGACACGCCTCTGCAGGTGGCTGGCTAGTTTGTGACGACTAGTACCTTTCACAGTCCCTGGCCTGCTTCCCGCAAGGTGAGACCTCAGTCCCAGCGGTGCCCAAAGCCACGATGCCGGTGGCAAACATGCTGGAGCTGACTGCATGCCCGGCTGTGTGTCCAGCGCCCTTCCTGCCTCCCATGACCCAGCAGACGGTCCTGTCGTCCTACTGTGAGAGGAGTCGCACACTGGTAAGGGACAGATCTGGGACTCCACCCCAAACCTGACCAGAGGCTGGCTGCAGCCACCAGGCTGAGGGCACCCTGTGACTTGCCGCTCCACTCAAGTGCCTCTTGAGCACTTGATGACAGACACTCTGGGTGACACGGGACACACCCTGCCCTAGCTTTCCTCACTGAGTCCCCAGAACCACTCCCTGAAGGGCATGTGAACAGCCTGGCTAGCTGATGAGACCTGGAGGCACCTTGAGGACAGCACCCCACAGGCCGTCGGGCCTGACCAGGGTGGCGCTCAGCAGAGTGCGCCTGTGCTCAGCTCAGCCTGCGGCCTGCCCCGCGCCACCGCCCAACCCTCACTCCTGAGACCTGAGCTTCCCTAACGGATCCTGGTCACGAAAAAAGAGTCAAGGTAGGTTCTGAGTCTGATGGAAATTCAGAGAACGGGCAGTACCTCTGTTGTGGGGACAGGGGACCTGAAGTTCACCTTGAAGGTCAGATGGGATCTCAACACCCATGTGTCGGGCAGGGCATGCCAGGCAGAGGAGTGGGCACAGGGGAGGTGCAGGTGAGGTGTGCAGGCCTGGTGGAGAGGGGCCTGCAGACCTGAGGCAGGGGCCAGAGGTCAAGCGGGGAACAGCCTGGAGCTCCATGCCAGAGCAGCCAGGAGGTCCTATGGGTTTTACGGATGAGGAGCTTAGATTATTAGGTCAGTGGCTGTCAAACATTTAAAATAGTATTTAAAACCTTTGTAGCAAAAGTCTCATAAAAAGGGCTCCCCTACATAAAACTGCAAGGTGGAGCTGCCTAGCTGCGCTCGGCCACCTGGTCGCCATCTCCAGGGAACACTGGGGGTGGGCTGTTAGGAAGATGGTGGAACCATTCCAGCAGGAGGGCAACTACCAGGCACCCCCTCGAGGTGGGCTCCAGGTGCCCTTGCCCACCTCCTCCTGCCCGGTGTGCTGGCAAGGCCTGCCCAGCACCCCACTCCCCAAGTGGGCTGCCTGCAGCAAGGAGGCACTTCCGGGGCCAGGCTGACAGAACAGCTGAGGACGGCAGGGTTTCGAGCTTAACTGTGTCTTGAGCTTCCTTTGCCTGCCAGTCCCACATGGCTCAGCCGAGACAGACAGACACAGATCGGGGCTGGGGTTGGGTGCGGGGGTGAGGCCGGGGCTGGTGCCGTCCCTGTGTGACCAGCAGAGGTGAGCAGCCTCAAGCAGCCACTGGAGCCGCGAGGCCCCAGTGAGGCTGATGCTAGGACTGTGGGCCCCACAAACAGTAACTGCCGCCAGAGGGGTGGGGAGGGAAGGACTTGACATCGCAGGGTGACCTCAGGCAGGTCTTTTCTCCTCTCAACCTCAGTGAACTCACCTCTAAAGTGGGGTCGCGTCAAGAAATAAGTGTTGGTGAGGATGTGGAGAAAAGGGAACTCGCATACATTGTTGATGGGATTGTGAATTTGTGCAGCCAAAACAGTATGGAGGGTCCTTAAAAATTAAAAATAGAACTACCTTATGACCTAGCAATTCCTCTTCTGGGTATTATCTGAAGGAAACAAAAACACGAACTTGAAAAGATAAATGCACCCTATGTGCATTGTGGAATTATTCACAACAGCAAAGACAAGGAAACAGCCCGTGTCTATGGATGATGAATGGATAAAGACGAGGTGGTGTACATACACAGAGGAATATTACTCAGCCATAGAAAGAAGGAAATCTTGTCATTTGCGACAACACAGATGGACCTTGAGGGCATTGTGCTGAGTGAAATAAGTCAGATGGAGAAAGACAAATACCATATGATCTCACTTAGATATAAAATCTAACAAAACAAAAAGACACAAAAAACCCAACCAAGTTCATAGATACAGAGAACAGATTGGTGGTCGCCAGAGGTAGTGGGTAGGGTTGAGGAGTGGGTGAACTGGCGATGGAGGTTGAAAGGTACAAACTTCCAGGTATAAAACAAGCAAGTCATGGGGAGGTAATGATCAGCATAATGACTGCAGTCAACAATACTGTATTACGTATTTGAAAGTTGCTAAATCTTAAAAGTTCTCATCACAAGAAAAAAAATTCTGTAACGATGGTGATGGATGTTAACTAGAGTGATCATTTTGTAATTTACACAAATAGTGCATCATTATGTTGTATACCTGAAACTAATATAATGTATGTCAATTATACCGCAATTAAAAAAAAAGCAGTCACAATCCACTCCCAGGGCCTGCTGAGGGTGGGATGAGGCCCAGCCGGTTAAGGGCCCACCTCCTCCAGGACTAGGCAAGTACTCACTGCTCATTTAATAGCTACTTGGGAGAATTAAAGCTGCCCCCAGCCAGCTCACTTTCCTGCTCTCTCCTGGCCAGGGCGCAGGCCAGGGCCTGGGGACTCCAGCTCCCAGGAGGCTGGCAGAGCAGTGCAACTCCGAAGGCAGCTTTGGGCAAAGTCCTGGACAATAGCGCCACCTGGTGGCTGATCCGGTGCATCACAGCAGGAAGTGTTCCTTCACTCGCTCCATCAGCACCCACCACATCCACCCTGGGCTGAGAGCCCCACGAGTGTCAGGGGTGGGCACACTGGGCAGGGCACCCTGGGTCCAGGCCATTAATCCAAATGGGCAACACAGGAGGGAGAGGAGGCTGGGGGAGAGAACATGAGAGCATTTCTGCCAGTGGCTGAGGGTGATCCCCAAGGAGAACACAGGGGGAGCCACTTGGCTGGGGAGATGTGGAACCAGGGATAAAGGGGTAGAAATTGGAAGCACTTGGAGGGCAGGGTAGCTGGAGTTACAGATGTGCAGATGTTTCAAGAAAAGCACATGAGGTCAGAAGACAAGAGGTCGGGCCTGGCGCTTTGGGTGAGTGGGCCAGGGAGCCAAGGGAGGACCCAGGACCTCAGCAGGAGCAGCTCTGGGTGGGTGAAGGTTCCAGAGAGAGAGGCGCCCGCCGATGTCCACAGAGGAGTGTGGGGCCAGGCCGGGGAGAGGACGGAACCTAGGGCAAGAGATGCAGGCCTCAAAGAAGCTGTTAACAGCAGGCTGATAGAGCCCCTGGGGGTCCTGTTAAAATGCAGATTCTGACCCAGAAGGTCCTGGATGGGGCTCAAGATTCTGAATTTTCAACCAACTGCCAGGGGACATTGCTACTGCTGCTCTGGGGACCAGTTTCGTTCTGTGGCCCAGTCAATGGGACCTGGGAGCAGACGTGGATGGGAGTGAGCAGAGAGTGAAGGGCTGGGGTGCAGAGGCCAGGGGGCTTCACTCTGGCTGTTCTGAGGCCATGCCTGGGGCAGCAGAGGTGAGGCACCTCTCAACAGAGGGAGCAAGTCCAGGGCCAGGCCCCAGACCGTTCTCCTTTGGAAGCTTTGCTGTGTGCCCTGCTCTGCAGGGCTCTGGGCCAGGCTCCTGGGGGCTGTGGGGAGCACACGGGGCAGTCAGGCTTCCTTGATTTGTTGGGGGCTGGTCTGTACAGAGAACCCATGAGCGGAGATGGTGGTAGTAGCCCCCGGATGGTCACAGCGAGAGGCCCGGGTCTTCTGCAGACCTGGGTGCCGGCAGAAGTGGGCCCAGAAAAGGGAGCTGTGGCTTTCTGGATGGCGGGCTGGGTGGGAGACGGAGGGGGAACAGGGTTATTTCCTAGCCTGGGCGAGCAAGTGGCTGACCAGGGCTTGGTGGGGAGTTGTAAGGCCAGCCCTTGTGGCCAGTGGTAGGGACGGGGTCACTGAGGAAAGGGGCCATGGATGGGCCTTGAAGGGTGAGCTGCTAAATCCCTGTTTCTCTCCCACCCTGAGGCCGAGGGAGGCAGGGAGAAGTCACAGAACACACACGGCCTTTTCCTGGCTCTCAGCCTGAGTACACCACCACCCCCCTCGAAG